GCGGTCAACACAAAGTGCAATGCGATCATCCGGTTTGACACCTTTGGCGATCAGGTAGTGTGCCAGTCGATTGGCGTAGGTGTTGAGTTCTTTATAGCTTAAAGTCTCTCCATCATACTCCACAGCATTTGATAGGCTATCACGTTCCACCTGATCCTCGAATAATTGATGAAGGCAGTGGGAGTTTGAATAATTATCTGTGTTCTGATTCCATTGATGCAGCAGCAACATGCGTTCTTCTTGTGGCATTACTACTAAAGTTCTTAACGGCTTTTGGGGCGTATGTGTAAGCGCATCGGCCATTGACACCAGAGCTTGTTTCATATAGGCACAGATTCGAGCCGCTGATATTGGGGACACTACTTGGACCGACAAGCTCAAAGCATGATCATTATCATCATCATCCAATGACATGGTCAACGGATACTTAGTTTGTCCCTCACTGCCTAAGTAGTTGATTCCCGGAAACGAAGTTTCAAATTGGCTGGTCTGTTGATTATGACGATAGTTCAATAGTGCACTGAACAGAGGCAGGCCAGTTGGAACTCCACTGCAGCGTTGTGCCAATACAAGCGGTGCGTGTTCGTGTGCCAACAATGCACTCAACCGATTATGGGTATGGTGTACTGCGATTTCGATGCTCGTCCCATCAATATCTAATCGCAGTGGGAGTGTGTTAATCATCGGTCCCATTGCCTTGTCATTTTCCTCTCCGGCCTGCAAACGGCCAAGAAGCACAGTGCCAAAAACTACTGCTTCACGACCGCTAGCTCCAGAAAGTACTCGTGCCCAAGCCAGATGACACAAACTGGACAGATTGACCCGTAAATGACGTGCATGGTCCCGTAGCTGATCATTGATTGTCTGCGGCAGATTCAGATGTGCTTCATTTGTCTCAGCACAGTCCCAACCACTGGGATTCAAACCAAACGGCACGATTGGGTCATCAATATCGCTTAGCATTTCTGTAAAGAATCTTGTGTGTTGTCTTGGACTAACTCGTAGTCGAGCATGGGCTACAAGATAACGGAATGAAGTGGGCGTTTCCAACTTTTCACTCTCTCCATACATGATGGCGTGAACTTCTGCCTGCATTTTTTCCAGTGTTGAATGGTCAATAATCAAGTGATGCATCAGCTGCAATACCACCCAGCTGCCATTAGATAATGGTGCAGCCATCAAACGCAATAACGGGGCGTGGGTTAAGTTTAGCCGATAATGACGCGGATTAAATTTTTGGATCAATTGTTCAAAAACAGCGTTGTCAGCATCGTTAATTTTTATCTCGTTGAATAATGAAGGAACATGATGTAAAACCACCTGAGCCGGTTCATTAAGACATTCCCAGACAAAGACGGTTCGCAGAATATCATGCCTTTCCATCACTCGCTGCAAAGCGTTCGCATAGCGTTCCATTGTTGTCCGATCATTAAAACTCATTCGGCTTACTGTCAAATAAGGATCGCCGTCTTCGGCCATCAGATGATGGAACAACATCCCGCTCTGTAATGGAGCCAATCCATAAATATCTTGGATATTACCTACTCCACCAGGTACTTTTGCAATAATTGTATCAATCTCTGTCTGAGAAAGTGTGATAAGCGGTAACATTTCTGGAGTAATCTCGGTGCTATCTACGGTAATTAGATTGAGCGGAATGGTCACTACTTGATAGCAAGTAAGAGTCGAAGCTAACATAGCCAGACTGGAAGCATCAAACACTTCCCGTGCGGTGGTGTCCAATCCGACCTTTCTCAACTTTGCTAAAAGCCGTACGACCAACAGAGAATGACCTCCGAGTGCAAAGAAATTGTCATGTCGGCTGATACTCTCAATGCAAAGCACTTCACGCCAGATATCGGCCAGTTTTTCTTCCATTTCACCCTGTGGAGCTTCATACAAATGACGAGCAAACGCTTCATCGTCCGGGGGCGGTAGTGCTCGTCGATCTAGCTTGCCACTGGATGTGAGTGGTAAGGATGCTAGAAACACATAAGCCGCTGGCACCATATAATCAGGCAGTGAAATCGATAGGAAAGTGCGCAAATCATATGCTATTAATGTATCCGTATCGGCCATCACATAAGCTACGAGACGAGCATCTGATCCATTGTTATAAGATTGTACGACCGCCTCTTGCACCTTAGGATGTTTGACTACATGAGCTTCGATTTCACCAGGCTCAATACGGAAACCACGAATTTTCACTTGCTGATCGATGCGTCCCAGATAGACCAAACTACCATCGGGTAGATAACGTGCTCGATCACCAGTACGGTACATGCGTGCCCATGAAGTGTCACTGAATGGATCGGGTAGAAAACTTTCAGCGGTAAGTTCAGGACGGTTTAGGTAGCCACGTGCTACACCAGCACCACCAATGTATACTTCTCCTTCGGCTCCTAGTGGCACTGGTTCACCGTAGGTATCCAGCAGATAAATTCGCTTATTGGGCAGTGGACGACCGATCGGTATTGGCGAGCTTTCAGGAATTGTGAAATTACAGACCCAACTGGTTGCAAAAACAACAGTTTCTGTGGGACCATACAAATTGGCTAACACTGTTTGACCTATGTCGTACTTTTCATACCAATCCCTTAAAATCATTGAATTCAAAGCTTCACCAGCTAAGATCACATATCTCAGTCTGTCAGACCTCGAACTGATGTTTTTTGTTCGCATGAACATTTTGAACGAAGATGGGGTTTGATTAAGTACTGTAATACCGCTGGCACAGATCCATTCATAAAACTCTTCCGCAGAACGGATCGTGCTGTGTGATGGAATCGACAGCTGACATCCATTTAATAACGCACCCCATATTTCCCATACAGAAACGTCGAACGAAATCGAATGGAACAAACACCATTTATCCTGGGTATTAATCTCAAATTGTTTATGTAGAGACATGACCAGATGTGCTGCGTCGTGATGTTCAACCATTACTCCTTTCGGTGTTCCTGTTGATCCAGAGGTGTAAATTACATAAGCCAAATTGAATGGACTGATTCCAGTCTTGGTTACATCGGGATTAACAATCGGAAAATCTGTAGGGAATGATTCGTTCAGGTCAACTATTGGCACTTGATGGTCTCCGAGTGCTATTCGGCCAGTAGTGTCTGCCAACACACATATTGGGTTTGCATCGCGTAGAATATTTGTTAGCCGTTGACTTGTATAAGCTGAATCCAGTGGTACATAGACGCCACCGGCTTTCAGAATACCAAGGATTGCTACGACCGTTGTTGTACTGCGCTCAACGCAAAGTGCGATGCGATCATCTGGTTTGACGCCTCTTGCGATCAGATAATGTGCTAGTTCATTAGCCTTGGCGTTGAGCTCTGCGTAACTTAGACTCTCCCTTTTACATTCCACGGCAATAGTCTGTCCGTGTTGCTCCACTTGCTCCTCAAATATTTCATGAAGACAGCGAGCAGGTGGATGGTATACGGTGGTTTCATTCCAGGTGTGTAACATCAACGTGCGTTCTTCCAGTGGAATTACATTCAGTTTTCGTACTGGTTTATGGGGCGTTTGCATTAACGCTTCCGCCATGGATTCCAGAGCATGTTTCATATAGGTACCAATTCGATCTGCTGACATTGGTGTAATTATTTGAGGCGTCAGTTCCAGCGAATCACCATCATCTTCAACTGATAAGATTATTGGGTAATTAGTTCGCTCCTCAACATCCACTACACTGATCCCAGCAAGTGACGCAGTAACATGTCCGGTCTTCTGCCTATGGCGATAGTTTAGCATTGCGCTGAATAATGGCAAACCTACTGGACACCCACTGCAGCGTTGAGCCAACACAAGCGGTGCGTGTTCATGTGCCAACAATGCACTCAACCGAGCGTGGGTATAATGTATAGCATTCTCAACACTCTTCTCATCAATATCTATCCGTATTGGGAGCGTGTTAATAGTCGGCCCCATGATATTATTGTTCCCCTCTCCAGCTTGTAAACGACCGAGTAACACGGAGCCAAAGACTACCGACTGACGTCCGCTAGCTCGAGCAAGTACCTGTGCCCAGGCTAAATGACACAAACTGGACAGACTGACGCGTAAATGACGTGCATACAACCGTAGCTGATCATTGAGTTTTTTTGGCAGCATCAGCTGTGCTTCATTGATATCAGTACCATCCCTTCCAACGTCGCGCAGACCAAATGGCAAGGTTGGCTCGTCAATATCACTTAGCATTTCAGTAAAGAAACTTGTTTGCTGGTCTGGACTAACTCCAAAGCGAGCCTGCGCTACCACTTGACGGAAGGGTGTAGGAGTTGTCAGTTTTTGCTGGTTAATAATTGCACCGATTTCTGCTTGTAGATGTTTCAGTGTAGTATGGTCATCAATTAAGTGGTGAATCAGTTGCAGTGCCACCCAACTACCCTCAGACGTTGGCGCAGCCATCAAACGCAAGAGCGGTGCCTGTGATAGGTCTAACCGGTAGTGACGAGGATTGAATTGGTGACTTAACTTATCAAGTGCAGTTTCAACAGTATCATTGAACGTAAGCTCAGTAAGTAATGAAGGAACTTGGCGCAAAACGACCTGTGCCGGCTCATTCAGACCTTCCCAGATAATGGCAGTGCGCAGAATATCATGTCTTTCAATCACCTGTTGCAAGGCAGATGCGTAACGTTTAAGAGTCATCCGATCAATAAAACTAAGTCGGATTACTGTCAAGTATGGGTCTCCCTCTTTAGCCATGACATGGTGAAACAAAACACCATGCTGCAGTGGCGCCAGTCCATAAATATCTTGGATATTAGTTACTCCACCAGGTATCTGTGCTACAATTGCATCAATCTCTGACTGAGAAAGACTAATTAGAGGTAGCATTTCTGGAGTAATAACAGTGCTGTCTGTGCTAATCAGATTGGGCGGAATATTCACTGATTGGTAAGGGGTGAGAGTCGCAGCTAACGTGGCCAAGTTTGAAGCATCAAATACTACCCGTACAGTGGTGTCCAATCTGATTTGTCTCAACCGTGCCAATAGCTGAACAATCAACAGAGAATGGCCTCCCAATGCAAAGAAGTTGTCATGTCGGCTGATTCGCTCAATCCCCAGCAGATCACGCCAGATATCGGCCAGTGTTTCTTCCATTTCACCCTGAGGAGCTTCATACTGTTGACGAGCAAAAGCTTCATAGTCCGGAGGCGGTAGTGCTCGCTGATCCAGCTTGCCATTGAGTGTAAGTGGTAGAGACGGTAGACACACGTATGCCGATGGTACCATATAATCAGGCAGTAAAGCCGATAAATAGGTGCGTAGATCCTGTGCTATTGATGTATTCACATCGGTCACTATATAAGCTACCAGACGAGCATCTGATCCATTGCCGTAAGATTGTACGACCGCCTCTTGCACCTGAGGATATTTGACTAGATGAGCCTCAATTTCACCAGGCTCAATACGGAAACCACGGATTTTCACTTGTTGATCCATGCGTCCGAGATAGACCAGATTACCATCAGGCAGATATCGTGCTCGATCACCGGAACGGTACATGCGTGCCGCTGGATTGTCACTGAATGGATCGGTCAAAAATCGTTCCTCGGTAAGCTCAGGACGGTTTAGATAGCCACGAGCTACGGCAGCACCACCAATATAAATTTCTCCCTCGGCTCCTAGTGGCACTGGGTCACCATATGAATCCAGCAAATACGCATAAAGATGTGGAAGCATTCGTCCAACTGAGTAGACGTTTTCGATAGCATTCAATGGTTGGTAGGTAGCATGAACTGTTATTTCCGTGATGCCATACATATTGACCAATAATGTTTGAATTTTGTCGTACTTGGCATTCCAGTCCTCTACAATCGATGGATCTAACGCTTCACCACCAAAGATTACATATCTCAGTCTGTTGGATCTGGAACTGATGTTTTTTGCTCGCATGAGCATTTTAAACACCGATGGTGTTTGATTTAGTACAGTAATACCTCTTGAACAGATCCAATCATAAAATTCATCCGTCGAACGTGTGATTTCATGTGGTACAATCGACAGTTGACTTCCATTCAATAATGCGCCCCAGATCTCCCAAACGGACAAGTCAAAAGAAATCGAATGGAACAAACACCACTTGTCCTCTTTGTTGAAATCAAATTTATCACGTGTAGCCTCAAAGAGTCTTACGACTTGCTGATGTTCAATCATTACTCCTTTTGGTGTACCTGTTGAACCAGAAGTGTAAATTATATAGGCCAGATGGCTTGGACTGACTCCAAGCTTGGTTATGTCTGGGTTATCGACTGGTAGATTGGCAGGTAATGGTTCGTCCAAATCAACTACTGGTACTTGATGGTCTCCAAGTGCTCTACGGCCAATAGCGTCCGTCAACAAAATTTTAGGATCAGAATCTTGTAAAATATTGGTCAGACGTTGGCTCGGATAGGCCGGATCGATAGGTACATAGGCTCCGCCGGCTTTTAAGATACCCAGTATGGCTACAAGCATTGTTGCACCGCGGTCAACACAAAGCGCGATGCGGTCATCTGGTTTGATACCTCTTGTGATCAAGTAGTGTGCTAGCTGGTTGGACTGGGTGTTTAGTTCTCTATAGCTAAAGATGGCCCCTTTACATTCCACTGCAATAGCCTGTGCGTTTTGTTCCACTTGCATCTCGAATAATTGATGAAGACAGCGATCAGGTGGATAGGTAACCTTGGCTTGATTCCATTTATGTAGCAGCAACGTACGCTCTTCTGGTGGAATCACATTCAGTGTTCGTACTGGTTGATGAGGCGTTTGTGTAAGTGCACAGACAATTGATTCCAGAGCCTGTTGCATATAGGCACCGATTCGAGCTGCTGACATTGGTGTAATAATTTGAGCTGTCAGTCCCAACGAATCACCATCATCTTCAACCGACAAGACCAAAGAGTAATTAGTTCGCTCTTCTGCATCTATAACAGTGACTCCAGGAAGTAAAGTATCGTTCTTCTCTCTCTTCTGATTATGACGATAGTTCAACAGTGCACTGAACAGAGGCAGGCCAGTTGGAACCCCACTGCAACGTTGTGCCAACACAAGCGGTGCGTGTTCGTGTTCCAACAATGCACTCAATCGAGTATGGGTGTGGCGTACTGCGGTCTCAACGCTCGTCTCATCAATATCTAATCGCAGTGGGAGTGTGTTAATCATCGGTCCCATGCTACTGTATTTCGTCTCTTCATCATGTAAACGGCCAAATAGAACGGTGCCGAAGACAATTGCCTTGTGTCCACTAGCTCGAGAAAGTACTTGGGCCCAGGCTAAATGACACAAACTGGACAGACTGACCCGTAAAAGACGTGCATGCATCCGTAGTTGATCATTGAGTTTTTTTGGCAGTGTCAGATTTGTCTCGTTGATTTCAGTCCCATTCCTCCCAACGTCGCGCAAACCAAATGGCAAGGTTGGCTCGTCAATATTACCTAGCATTTCAGTAAAGAAACGTGTGTACTTGGCTGGACTAATTCCCAATCGAGCCTGAGCTACAAGATTACGGAATGGGGTTGGCATTGTTAACTCTTCACTCTTTCCTTCAATGATAGCGTGAATTTCTACCTGTAGTCTGTCAAGCGATGAATGGTCAATAATCAAGTGATGCATCAACTGCAACGCAATCCAATTCCCGTCTGATGTAGGCGAAGCCATCAAACGCAGAAGCGGTGCATGTGTCAAATCGAATCGATTATGACGTGGGTCAAAGAGGCGAGTCAGCTGTATTAGAACTGTTTCACTGGTACCTTCCAATGTAATCTCGTTGAGTAACGAAGGAACATGTCGCAAAACTATCTGTGCCGGCTCTCTGATACCTTCCCAAATAAAAATAGTACGCAGAATATCGTGTCTCTTAGTCACTTCTTGTAAGGCTGTCGAATAACGTTCAAGTGCTGCCCGGTCGGTAAACTGGATACGGCCTACTACCAAGTATGGGTCACCCTCTTCGGCCATCAGATGATGGAATAACATACCGTGCTGTAATGGCGCCAATCCATAAATATCTTGGATATTGCCTACTCCACCTGGTACTTGTGCAATAATTATATCGATCTCGGCCTGAGTAAGATTAATAAGTGACAACATTTCTGGAGTAATCTCGGTGCTGTTTGTGGTAATCAGATTGAGCGGAATATTCACTGATTGATAAGGGGTGAGAGTCGCAGCCAACGTGGCCAAGTTTGAAGCATCAAAAACCTCACGTACGGCGGTCTGCAATCCGACCATTCTCAACTGCGCTAACAACTGTACGACCAACAAAGAATGGCCTCCCAATGCAAAGAAATTATCATGTCGGCTGATACGCTCAATGCCAAGCAATGCACTCCAGATATCAGCCAGTTTTTCTTCCATTTCACCCTGTGGAGCATCATATAGTTGGCGAGCAAACGCCCCATCATCCGGAGCCGGTAGTGCTCGTCGATCTAGTTTCCCATTACGTGTGAGCGGTAAGGATGGTATACACACATACGCCGATGGTACCATATAATCAGGCAGTAAAGCCGATAAATGTGTGCGTAGATCCTGTGCTATTGATGTATTCACATCGGTCACTATATAAGCTACCAGACGAGCATCTGATCCATTGCCATAAGATTGTACGACCGCTTCTTGCACCTGAGGATATTTGACTAGATGAGCCTCAATTTCGCCTAGCTCAATCCGGAAACCACGGATTTTCACTTGCTGATCGATGCGCCCCAAATAGACCAAATTGCCATCAGGCAAATATCGTGCTCGGTCACCAGTACGGTACATACGTGCCGCTGGATTGTCACTGAATGGGTTGGTACGGAAACGTTCTGCGGTAAGTTCAGGACGATTTAGATAGCCACGGGTCACGCCAGCACCACCAATATACAGTTCTCCTTCGGCTCCTAGTGGCACCGGTTCACCATATGAATCCAGTACATACGCACAAAGATCTGGGAGTGGTCTTCCAATTGAGTAAACGTCTTCGATAGCATTCAATGGTTGGTAGGTAGCATGAACTGTTATTTCCGTGATGCCATACATATTTACCAATAATGTTTGACTTTTTGTGTTCAGAGGTATATCAAACCAGTCCTTCATAATCGATGGATCTAACGCTTCGCCACCAAAAATTACAAATCGCAGACGGTCTGGTCGTGAACTCATATTTTTTGACCGCATAAGCATTTTTAATGACGATGGGGTTTGATTCAGTACAGTTATACGGCTGGTACATATCCAATCATAAAATTCGTCCGTAGAACGAGTGATATTGTATGGTACAATCGACAGTTGACTTCCATTCAATAATGCGCCCCATATTTCCCATACGGAAAAGTCGAAAGAAAACGAGTGGAACGAACACCACTTGTCTTTTTTGTTGAAATCAAACTTTTCGAGTGTAACCTCAAATAGTCGCACAACTTGCTTATGTTCAACCATTACACCTTTCGGTGTTCCTGTTGATCCAGAGGTGTAAATAACATAGGCCAAATTATTTGAATTGAGTCTAACCGTAGTCGCGTCAGGATTATCGGTTGACAAATTCGTTGACAGTGGTTTGTCTAAGTCAATCATTGGAATTTTATGGTCTCCGAGAGCATTTCGCCCAGCAGCATCTGTCAGCAGAAATAAGGGACTTGCATCCTGTAGAATATTGGCTAGCCTTTGACTCGGATAGGCGGGATCGATTGGTACATAGGCACCGCCAGCTTTTAGAATACCCAGCATCGCCACGAGCATGGTCGTACTGCGCTCAACGCAAAGTGCGATGAGAGCATCTGGTTTGACACCTTTGGAGAACAGGTATTGTGCTAGTCGGTTGGCTTGTTCGTTAAGTTCTGTATAGCTTAAGTTCACTCCATTACACTCCACTGCAACTGCTCCTCCGTCTCGTTCCACCTGGGCCTCAAACAACTGGTGGATACAGTGTGTGGATGGATATGTTTCGCTTATCTGGTTCCAAGTAAAGAGTAGTAGATCACGTTCAGCCTTAGGCAATAAATCCAATTTAGCTACAGGTAGTTTTACTTTATCATCGCTATGGGCAGATGCAAGCAACACCAACAAACGTGACGAAATACAATTGATTTCTTGTTCCGATATTTGATTTGCGTCGTAGATCCACTGAAAAGCACCTTTGCGTCCGTTGATCAGCAGAGTCATCAAGCTACCGTGGGAAACGAATTCGCAGACATCAGTCATGGCATACTCGTATTCACTTTGTGTATCGATTAGGGACGCAGCCAATGCCCAGGGTTGGTTGCCCCACGAACCATTCGTAAAATTTTTAGCGTCGCGGGTGAGTGTTTCTGACAAGCACGGCAAGTGATTGACCAATTGATTGTAATCCTTTTCAACAGTGGCCATAACACTTGAAAAAATGTCATTCAAGTCGATGGTTGTCCCAAATGGAACTGTCTTAGCAAATATGTATGGTGATGATGATGCCTCCTTGTCTTGTTGGCAACATTCAGTTGTGCCCCAGCCAATTTGTATTTGTGACGTTTGAGTATCTCGAGCAATGTAAATAAGCCATGCAGTAAGAACCTCTATCGTACTAAAGTCTCTTGAGCTTAGGTAAGCAGTTGCGGCCCATACTGGTGATTTATTGGCATTGTTGTTCGCGAAGGAAAGTTGACACGGTTCAAAATTGGCAAGACGCTTCGACCAGTAAGGTTCTGATGACATGGCCCTTGAGTGTGCGTCACCAAATCGTACGGCCTGTTCGGGTGTGATAATTGGGAGCTGGCTACCATTGGTGATATGACATTGATCAGTGAGAGTTTTGACCGAGATCGGCTGGCCAAATTCATTTAAAAAGTTGCTTATTTTCACCACTCCATCTGCAGCAGCCACGTGCCAAGCAGTTTCGTCTATTGCCAACACTGTGCCTGGAGGATTTCTGCTTACAGAATCTACGTGTTCCAATTTACTGATGCTCACAACCCGGTCGCATAGTAGAACTTTTGATGCTGCAAAAGGACTGGGACCGTTTCCCACCCACGTGTTGGAATGCACGAGACGAACTAAAAATTCGCATTCCCGAGCCCACTGCAAAAAACCGGCTGTAATTGGCCTGCGCCGATTGGCATAAAAACTCTCGCGTAGCTTAACAGTTGTAACGACACGACATTGTTCGTCAAGTGTGGCAACTGTACTGTTCGGCACACACACAATCTGATCTAAAATGAAAGATAAGTGGTTCTGTAAGGCAGCGAGTTGTTCTTCTGAATGCCCTCCATAAACATCTTCAAAGAGAATGTCAAGTCGGCCGTTTGAATCATCGGTCCAGAATGTTATATTCAAGTCATTGATATCAATGTTCCCACCATAATGTGATGAACAACTACATCCCTCAAACGTATCTCCATGATCATAACGCAATATATTTACAACAGGACCAAAACTACAATTGAAGTTATAGTTAGCGAGTTGTAGGATCTCTTCGATACGGTAACGTTGATGTTTCAGGATTGATTTTGTTTCTTGGGCAATTTGAATTATGACCTCGGGTATCGTAGCATGCTCAGGGATATGCAACAGCAATGGTAAAACGTTGGCTGTCATTCCAAGCTCTTTATTCAAATATGTACCACGCACTGGCAGATTGAGACTCATGTACTCGCGACCGAGAAGGCTTCGGAGCAAAAGCGCTGAAACGCCAATATAAATAAAAGATTCTGGAATATTCATTGTTTTCGCTGCCTGTTGCAGTTTTTGGCATTCACGGATGCCCAATGTCATTGTTTGACGATAGGTTGTCTTCTTTCCAAGAAAATTAATACTTCGTTGTGTGTAAGCAAAGCGCTTCAATCGCTGAACATAAGCCTGCCAGAATCTCATATCTTCTTCATACTCATCGGATGCTCGATACATGGCGTCAGCGCATGCTAAAGCATCGAAATGTAACTTAGGCTGCACCGTGATTTCTTCACCTTGCTTTAAACTATTGTAGGTAGCAGCGAGCATAGTTTCGAACTTTGACCAAGACCTAACAATGTTAAGAGAAAATACCAATTAATTTTGCGAGAAAAAAAACATTTGTCTAAGACAGTAACACCGTGCAACACATGTTTCTGCACATGAGAAATTCCGATTGCTTGTTTTAGAGGACCAAAAACCAAGCACCTTTGCATCATTAGTTTGTTCGAAACCACGTCTAGATTTTTTTTAATCGACAATATAAGACAAATTTCAGGTCAAAATGAGCAAATCACAAACATAAGCATCGATTTGACAGGTAAAGGCAAATGATTTCTACCTTTTCTGCCTTTGAACAACTAGTATGATCCTTTACAAACATTTTGGGTACTTACATGACCAAATCGAGTGATGTTTTCACATATTTCTGGCCGCATATTTGGTTGGTTCGAATTCAACTCTGAAAGAATCGACTTTTGGCCAAAAATCCTTAAATATAGGCTTTTTAGGGATAGTATCTTAGCGCAAAGTTATTTTTTCTCGAAAATATGGGGAGTCTACCCAGACCAAATCTCTCAAAATTGACTTTTCGAGGTACCTTCTGAACAAAAGTTACGTTTTTAATGCATTTTGCTATGAAAATATCATTTTTTGTTCGGGAGGTACCCCAAAAATCATTTATAAGAGATTCTGTGTGGGAAGATTCCCAATATTTCTCGAAAAAATTAATTTTTTACTAAGAAACTCATCCAAATAGTGTATTTTTGGGGTACCTCCCGAACAAAAAATGTTATTTTCATAGCAAAATGCATGAAAAACGTAACTTTTGTTCGGGAGGTACCTCGAAAAGTCAATTTTGAGAGTTTTTGTCTGGGTAGACTTCCCATATTTTCGAGAAAAAATAACTTTGCGCCAAGAGACCATCCCTGAAAAGCCTATACTTAAGGATTTTTGGCCAAAAGTCGATTCTTTCAGAGTCGAATTCGAACCAACCAAATATGCGGCCAGAAATATGTGAAAACATCACTCGATTTGGTCATGTAAGTATCCAAAATGTTTGTAAAGGATCATACTAGATGTTGAAAGGCAGAAAATTTAGAAATTATTTGCTTTTACCTGTCAAACCGAAGCTCATGTTTGTGATTTGCTCATTTTGGCCTGAAATTTGTCTTATATGTGTCGATAAAAAAAAGTCTAGACGTGGTTTCGAACAAACTAATGATGCAAAAGTGCTTGGTTTTTGGTCCTCTAAAACAAGCAATCGGAATTTCTCATGTGCAGAAGAAAAAGTTGAAATTTGTTACACGGTGTAATCCTACAAAGTGTATATTTGAGGTACCTCCCGAACAAAAAATTATAATTTCATATCAAAATCCATAAAAAGTTTCACTTTTGTTCCCCAACAACCCTAGGTACCTCAAAAAGTCACTTTTAAGATTTTCAATTAGTAAATTTGATAAGTCTCATCATATTTTTTAGGCAAACTAACGAACAAAGTACGCTCCGGTGAACACCAAAAAACTAACATGAATTTTTCTTGGACCATACCTAACATCGATGAGGCCGTGATGGAATCGCGCATAAAGTATGTATTTGTCACTGTCGACGACGTAGAACGTAAACTCGTAGAGTTGATCGTCGGTCATGCGGCAGGACTTTTGCGCGGCTTTTTTCATTTTTTTCAATGCCTCTTTGAGTGGTGTGGAATGAGTAGTAAGATCAATTGTTGTTAAATTGTGATGAATGCTCTCGTCATGAATCTGCCACAGATTTCCATCTGAATAGATGAATCGTGTCTGCATTATTGGAACCTTAGAAGAAAGATGATTGATCGCATTCGCTAAGACTTCCAGATCTAATGCACCACGGATGAGTTTATAAGACCAAACATTGCAATTGGCATCAGGACGCGTTTGTTCAATGAGAAACATTTCACGCTGTGCACGTGTCGCTAAACAGCGAAGAGTTTCTCCACTATCCAGGATAATGCACATGATTGCAATGAAACACTTCTTTGTTGTATTTTTAACTTACGTACATCAAATGTTTTCAACTGCAAAAGGAAATGAAATGAGAAATTAATTGGAAATTGGAAGAATTTTATATAAAACAATTTGCCACTTCAAGCCTTGAACTCCGCGGAACTGTATTTTGAAAAAGAATCTCATAAAAATTATGATCTCAACTCAATTTTTAGATACATATGGTCACGATCGCGGCGCACGGTAACTTTACTGACGTTTTTCACATGCTCATAACTCCGCTATCATAATAGATAACAAGAAAGAGTAAAGGCATAAATTCTAGCTAATTATACTAAAATTCATTTAATACAAGGAACTCTACAGTCTGTGTACTTGTTATGCTGAATATGTGCAAAAGAATAAGAAGGTGTTAAAAAAATGTATGAAAATTTGCGAATTTTCAAGGTTTTTTACACACGATTATATCTCTACAAAAACCAAAAAAAAGTTCCATGTTATGATTCGATTATTGTTGCCCCATACTCGATCTACATTTTTTGTCTTCACTCTTCTGATATATCTCTGATAGTGGCCATGTTATGAGCTCATTTGTATGTCAGTAACGTTACACCTCCGCGACCGTGACCATATACATATTTTGTATAGCAATTCATTTACTTTTTATACAATATAGAGAAACATACGGAAAAAGGGTTCAGATTTTTGATACAAATGGTTTTTCTCTGCCAAAATAGAAAGTAACGAAACTATGTTCAATTCTTAGCTCACTGGAGGGAATTTCCTTTGCGTTTGAGTCATGATGTTTTGAACAACACATTATTTTCAATGATTAAATGTGGTAAAAAGAAAATATATATCTTGTTATTATTAATCATTATTTACAAAAAAATCAAATTTAATTTTAAAATTATAATGAACTTTTTCGATCAGAATATAAATTGTGAATAATACTATTCCGAAAGTGACCCACAATCATCATCACAATTTAGACCAATAAGTGATGTAAAATGTTATGACAATTATTTTCAACCATCACTTGCAAGCACTAACACACTATCAATTGTAAATTATTATATGAGAGCGAAGACTAATAATAATCTATAATTATAATTAGATTACGAAGCCGATCATTTGCGAAAGCACATTGTAAATGTAATCCCATTGAATTCGGTGGGGTTATATAAATCTTACTAGCACTTATGATACAAAAAGCGTATTTTGTCATCAATTCATTTCAATCACTTGGAAATATTTTAAACTGAGAGCATAAATTACAACTCGTAAAATCCGCTTAAAAAACCATATGAATTAAATTTGATAGCTCTGTTGGATCGTCGCAATTTGCATACAGTTTGTAAGAATTTGGAATATTACAAGAGAATTTCACCATCTTATCTCAATGAAACGATAAATTTAAAATCATTATCTATTATTACCCAAAGCGTGTCTTTTCTTTAGTGTTGTTCACTCTATGGAGAAAAAAATGAACGAATTGAAACTTTGTTAATTTTGTTTATTTAAATCACTTTTCTTTCAACTCAAGAAATTTAAGATGTTGAACAAATCGAAATTTAAAAAACATTATCTTTATTTTAAAGGTTTGTATGATTTTCACAACGAAATGATTCTATATATATACGAATTATAACGTTCATTGGCTTTTTAACGGGGGTTTGTCCCACCCAATTCTTCTGTCAAAATTCAATGCGACACAAAGATAAAGATAAATAAACAGATTAATTGCTAAAAATTTCCATCCATATGGCTTTTTAAGAGAGTAATTAGTCAGATTGTGTCTGAATCAGTAGTGATTATAAATGGAATTCCGCAAGTGTTTACCAGTAAATGACCATATGACGCAACAATGATAGAAATCAAATGTTTTGTCTCCAATTATTTTGTATAAAAAATGAGTTTCATTTTTTCCCTTCAACTTTCATCCGCCATCATTGTATGTCATTTTTGAAGAAATAACAATTTAGCGAATCATTTTTTGAATTGTGATTCATTGCATCCGACAATGATGTTTTACTCACACTTCATTTACTCATAGTCAAAATAGAACATTACAAACTCTTTCCAATTGAAATCATATCACGATTGCGGTTTTACGTCAACATTTGATTTCATGAAATATTTCCAATGATTCATAGAGAACCCTTTGTTCAAGTTTGTTTTTTGGTCTTATCCGATTGTAAACACGTGCGGACAATTTTGGATTACGTGTTCAATTCGTTTTGTTATCATTTATAATAACTTGATGGTTTTGAAATTGGGGACAAATCAGAACAAAATATTATCATTATTTTTATCAATTGTAACGTATTATGAGGTTTTCTCAGAGGTTTTCCCCTCATAAACACCGGAATGTAATGAAACAACAAATTTGTTAAAGCTTAATAATAATGATATGTACTAACATTTAATTTTACTTTTCCGTACACATCGTGTCAAGGGAAAGTATAGGAATTGGTCCCGAAAACTTTTTTCGCAAAATTAGCTTAGATCACCATAAAAACTCATGAAACGCGTAGAAAACCACTTTTTGAGACACTTTTCCGTTCGTGTGCCGTCGTCGTTGTCGTTGTCGTTGGTGTTTGTTAACACGATAACTCAAAAAATAATTGAGATAATCAAAATCTGGAAATGCCAAAAGTTTTGTATCCGAAAAACTTAGTTTAAGTTCGAAGATGAGCCATTTTCGATTTGATCCTGGGGTACTTGCCCTAAGAAAAACCTCAAAAAATTGACACTTTTGTATGGGAGGTACCTGCAAATCGACTCCGATTGGCTTCAAACTTTCTGGGATTTCATTTTTTGGGAAAAAATAAGATTCTGAAAGTTTCATGTTGATCGCATTTGCAGAAGATTGATTTTTTGTCCTCAATTTTGTCGAAATTTTCTTGGAAAAAATTGAGGGGCAAAAACCAAACTTCTGCAAATGCGATCAACATGAAACTTTCAGAATCTTATTTTTTCTCCAAAAGATGAAACCTCAGAAAGTTTAAAGCCAATGAGGTTCGGTTTACGGGTACCTCTCATACAGAATTGTCGAAGTTTTAGTTAAAGTGACCGATTTTTCACTTTATTTTTACTTTTCCGTACACAACGTGTCAAGGGAAAGTATAGGAATTGGTCCCGAATTTTTTTTTCGCAAAATTAGCTTAGAACATCATAAAAACTCATGAAACGCATAGAAAACTTTTTGAGACACTTTTCCGTTCGTGTGCCGTCGTTGTCGTCGTCGTTGGTGTGTGTTAAAACGATAACTCAAAAAATAATTAAGATAATCAAAATCTGAAAGTCCCAAAAGTTGTGTATCCAAAAAACTTAGTTTAAGTTCGAAGATGAGCCATTTTCGATTTGATCCTGGGGTACTTGCCCTAAGAAAAACCTCAAAAAATTTACACTTTTGTATGGGAGCTTCAGCCGATTGGCTTCAACCTTTCTGGGATTTCATTTTTTGGGAGAAAAATAAGATTCTGAAAGTTTGAAACCAATCGGAATCGATTTACGGGTACCTCCCATACAAAATTTTTGAAATTTTGACTAAAATTACCGATTTTTGGACAATTTTGTATGGGAGGTAAATCGATTCTGATTGGCTTCAAATTTTATGAGGTTACATTTTTTGGAGAAAAAACAAGATTCTGAAAGTTTCATGTAGATCGCATTTGCAGAAGTTTGATTTTTTGTCCTCAATTTTTGTCGAAATTTTCTTGGAAAATTTGAGGGCCAAAAATTCAACTTCTGCAAATGCGATCAACATGAAACTTTCAGAATCTTAGTTTTTCTTCGAAAAATGAAACCTCAGAAAGTTTGAAGATAATAGGAATCGATTTGCGGGTACCTCCCATACAAAATTGTCGAAATTTTAGTTAAAGTGACCGATTTTTCAAGAATATTGAAAAAACCAAAAGTACGGACAACGGTACGGAAAAGTTTGGGATTACGAATATAATTCTTTTTATTTAATTTTTAATTTGAATAATTTCTAAATCAAAATTATACTCGACACATTCTAACCACTTAAAGATGACAACATCGAAAGTTGGTCTACATCAAATTTTATGAAACATTTCCAATGATTCATTTAATCGTGAAATCTTTGTATGATTGAATGGTAAATGTTATTGTGACAAATGATGACGCCTCGTTTGATGACAAATACAAAATAAATCCGTTATCATTGAGCCATGAATTGAAGAAAATTACTATTGTATTTATGTTGTTTACAATTTATCAAGCTTGGTCAAAATAGACCCTTTGACCGAAATAACTGAACGCCTAGGCGTTCATTGCTACGAATGCACGAAAGCAGTGAGAATAGCAATGAAAGCCTAGGCGTTCAGTATTTAAAATGTACATGAAAATTATGAAAGCCTCATCGAACGAATGTAGGCTTTCATCAAATCCTATTGAGTCCACCCGGGTATTGTTTCAAACCAATGGGTAACAGCATTCCGCCAATCGTATGGAAATACGACAACAATTTGTCTGCATTCAACATAGCTAGTTTTGCGATTATAGTGGCGTTGCTATGCTAAGTGTGTTACTGTATTCGAAGAAGATCCACACAAAAGGGAATGAAAAATATTCGTTATGATTTTTTTCTATTGAATTTTTTTGAATGTATTTTACATTACAAAAACGACTACTGCGGCGCTGCGAACGTTTTGACAGGTATAAAAGTCAATTGTTAGCAGGCATTGTTTCAAACATGCAAGAATATTTAATCAGATGAAAAACCTCTAGACGAGGTTAAAATGGAGTGACGCTCTGTACGTGGATTTAGCACTCAAAATGACTGATATCATTTTGAGTGACGCTAGAACGCTGTATTATCACTACATACGAGGTTCAAAAGTATTTTTCGCATTCACTATTGTGAAAATTTACTCACAATAAGGAAAAATATCTTGCGTCACGACTTTTGATTTTAGTTCAAGTTTTCAAGCGTTTTGCCGTCTAAAAGTCGTGACGCGATATTTTTCCTTATTGTGAGTGAATTTTCACAATAGTGAATGCGAAAAATACTTTTGAACCTCGT